GGGGATGACGTCTACTAATGAAGAAGGTCAACAGTCGCAGCCATCGGGGTGTGTGATGTGTTTCCTTTTTTACGAGGTCGTTCCGTCACACTACTCTGTCTGTCCAAAAATTCTATCGTTCCAGCAATACTTCGATTGTTAACGGTGGCCCATAAAGATTGAATATGTGTTGGGAACAGCCTCATAATTTCTGAGACAATAATACTGTCGGGTAAAGGAGGAGTGAAACATCGGTAGGCGCTGACATGTTTAACAAAATATTCACTCATAGAGGACCTTCGGTTAGGATGATATTTCAAGGAACCAAGATGTAGTCGTTCCGCATATTGTCCTTCCTCTGGCCAATAGAAAGATAATAAATCTGCTTTAATGTCTTCAAAGACCATCCATCCATCAGATTTGACTGAACACCAATCCCCAGCAGTCTCAATAAGGCAAGATTTGACGATGTCTAGTTTTTCAGAGGGAGTAGCCCCTACAGACGTGAAAAATTGTTCCAGCTTGTTCATAAATTGTACGGGATTCTGCGAGTCGGGTGAGGATAACGTGGGCTTTTCACACGTTGCCATTGTGAGACTTCGCTGGCTCAGAGACAAAGCAACACGCTTCCAATCTCTTATCGTTGCTACGTCATCCGGTACTGGATCTCTTACAGGTCATTTCTAAGGGGGCTCGAAACAGTGGCTGTCAAGGTTTGCCTACGTTGTGGTTCAATAAAAGTGCTACTGGCAGGAGGTAAAAATACCGCTTGAAAAGACTCGTTCATTTGTTGTTGTTGTTGTTGTATGAAGTTAGTCGTCATCTCAAACTATTGCTGAAGAAGTCTCATAAGGTCGGCTACAGTAGGCTGAGCTTGGGATTCGGCCGTTCCTCCTTCTGGTACCTCAGAAGCAGATGCGCCCCTTAGGTCCAAAGGTAGAGAATTGTTTTCGAATATTTTTTGTTAAATTGATAAAAGCAGAAACACTTACAAGCGGGAGCAGAAGCGGTAGACCGTAGATAGTAGACCGTGTGAAAATGTTTTTTTTTATATAGATTATTTTCAAGAAGGGCAAGTCTTCATAAGACACCCCCTGAAGGGAGACAGTGTCGGATTTTTACCGACTAAAGCCCCTCCTCGAGTGGGGAGATAAAACTTGAGCGTTACTCATCCCCGGGAAGAGAATGGAAGGTTCGGATTTGGGAGAGGGTTGAGTAGGGAAAATAGTAAAGCGTGGGGAAATTTGGGTGGGGAGAACCGACGGAATAGGTGGTCCACCTCGGAAGTATCGGGTGGACACTCGCGCTAAAAAGCGAAGCTAGGAGTGGCTCATTGTATGAAAGACAGGGCCTTCTAAAACGGTCGTTTGGCTTCGGGGCGAAGTTGGACAGTGTCGAGATAGTAGGGTTTGCGTGGCCTGACACTGAGACTCGGAGATATGCTTCGAATTAAATTGCAGCCTCAGCGAGAGAAGGTAAACCGGTTTCTTTCAAAATTTGGGTAATTCTAACGAACCGGTATTGTTTAGTGCGGAACGAAGGATCCGCATGTAGGTGCCTTGCAGAAGTTTTAGGCGGTGGGGAAGGGCGCAGCCCCAGACGGGAATGGCGTAGGAGCAAATGCTACTGTTTATTGCGTTAAACCCACGGATTATCGAATGTTGGGAGATGGAGTAGTTTCGGAAGAAAGGCTTTAGTGTGATGAATGCACCCATTGCCTTGTTACGCTTAGTTGCGATGTGGAGCCGCCAGTTTAGTGTCCTGTCGAAAACGGCGCCTTTATATAGAGTAAATAAAAAAATATTACCTTTTGGTTTCCAAGATCGAATTTTTATAATAAAAAGACAAAAATAAAATATAAACTAACTAAGAAAAGAGGACCAAACTTACCTTTTGTTTTTACCCAATTTGAACAATATTAGTCGTCACGTAATCACTTAAATTCTTTTTTTTCTTTCTATTCAATTTTTTTCTTACTGTACTCAACAAGAACTTCTCTCGCATTCCTCAACTTCTGTCTCGTCGACCCATACCTATCATCACTATCCTCTCTTTTCCCCGGGACTCTCGCGCTGTTTTTTTTTCTTTTTTAAACGTAGATCGAAACAGTTTTTTTTTATATCGATCCACAGGATCTCCTGCAGGAACTATCACGTAAACCGTAAGTAGGTGATATTTTCAGATAGTCGTAAGCTTTATGACTTGCGTTGAGGAACACTAATGATTAATATGCCTCTTGCCTTTTTAATTACGTTAAATATACTAGTCAGGTACACCTAAGGTATTATATGATGCATGTATGAATACTACATGGACAGTTACACCACAAATATATTAGAAGGGAAAGATATCGAAACAATTACCTACTAAATTGAAGGCAGCATATATTATAAGTGTGTTAAGACAAAAAAGCGGTCAAGTGCAACTCGATTTTACTTTGTATAGGTACTCGGTATTACTGGTCTATTTAAAGTTCCGTTTTGTTAACATGTAAAACATAATGTCTACTTGTATGAAGAAAAATAGCCTTTTATAAGCGAAAACACACAATCGTGGTCATAAACACATACATATTTGTTTATGTTTTTCCACCTATCGTCAAAATAATGGGTTGTTCGGAAAGTCATTTCGTTTTTTCCCGACAGAGGATTTAATTGTATTCTTTTGCAACCAACTTCACATATAAGCCGTATAATTTTTATATGCTTTGAGAGCTCATATAGCAAGGCTTGTGTGTGAAAAATTCCAATTAATTCTACGCAGTAGTTTTTGGTTGGTGCCCTTTTAAATATGGAGAGCGATAAGCAGCATTTTCGACATATCTTACTGTTTTACTACAGAAAGGGTAAAAATGCTGTTCAAGCCAGAAAGAAATTGACTGATGTGTATGGAGAAGGTGTGTTGACAGTACGCCAGTGCCAGAACTGGTTCGCTAAATTTCGATCCGGCAATTTTGATGTCGAAGATGCACCACGTTCGGGAAGGCCGGTTGAAGCTGATAAAGACGCGATAAAGGCATTAGTTGATGTGAACCGGCGAATAACAACACGAGAGATCGGATTGAGGTTAAATTTATCAAATTCAACAGTTTATGACCACTTGAAAGGTCTGGGATTATCCTCGAAGCTCGATGTATGGGTTCCCCATGTTCTCACAGAGAGAAATCTGTGTCGCCGCATTGACGTCTGCGATTCGCTTCTCAAACGTCACGAAAATGATCCGTTTTTGAAGCGCATCATCACTGGGGACGAAAAATGGGTTGTATACAACAACGTCAAACGCAAGAGGTAATGGAGGAAAAAAGATGAACCGGCTCAAACCATTTCCAAAGCCGATATTCACCAAAAAAGGTGATGCTGTCTGTTTGGTGGAATTTTAAAGAAATCGTTTTTTTTAAGCTTTTACCGGATAACACAACGATTAATTCGGAAGTCTACTGTCATCAGCTGGGCAAACTGAATGATGCACTTCAACAGAAAAGGTCAGAACTAATCAACAGGAAAGGTGTAGTGTTTCACCAAGACAACGCGAGACCTCACACAAGTTTGGTCACTCGCCAAAAGCTTTTACAGCTTGAATGGGATACAATGCTACACCCACCATATTCTCCAGACCTGGCACCATCGGATTATTATTTGTTCCGGTCACTCCAAAATTTTTTAGACGGTAAAACCTTCACCTTAAATGAGGAGGTCAAAAACCTCCTCGATCAGTTTTTTGCCAGCAAAGACCAAAAATTTTATGAGCGTGGAATTATGCTACTACCAGAAAGAGGGCAAAAGGTGTTGGACCAGAACGGTCAATATATAATTTAATAAAGTATTTGTTTATTATACGAAAACTGTCTTTCATTTCCACAAAAAAAAAAACGAATGACTTTCCGAACAACCCTATAGTTTATTAGAAGCATAAGTGCCTCATTTTGTATTTATGTATACTAGAAAGTTCTAAAACGAAACTTCCACATCCTTCCCAAACAATGTTCCTCACAGAAGTTGTAATACCACATACAACCAACCTTGGTTGATAGACACAGTCAGAAAGTAGTCGATTTTCAACTGTTTTTATAATGATAAACGTAGCATTCCAGTATTTAATTTAAATTTTAAATTCACAATAACCAACCATGGTTCTCACTCATGGAACCGAGAACTGTAAAATTCCATTTCTAGACTAAATTTAATAAACAGATAAAAATCTAGAAATGGAAATTTACAGAAAATGTACTACTAACCGTTTATAATTCTTAATTGCGGTTATTGTCATTATTGTAAGGTCTTTAGCCCACCGACTGACTTGACACGCACCTCCATTTCTTCCTAACATGAGCTAATCGTCACATTTCTTAAAAACTGGAGCAACCTACTTCTCTATTTGCTGTTTCTACATCTAGCATATTTCTGACTAGTCCTTTAAGTGTCCCTTTAACCTATCTCGCCTATTTTATCTATCCATAACGTCCCTGTAACACGACCTTTCAAACGCTTCTATTTTTCTTTTCTTTCCAAAATGTAGCTTCCACCATCTACGTTGCAATCCCATAAAGAACCATGCTCCTTAAGTACAGCGTACACTTCTGAATTTCGAAATTAATCAATCTCTAACACTGACGTGATTACTTTTATTAAAAACGACTCGTCTCTGCGCTATTTCCCTCCTCAATTATATTACCTAACTCCCTAAATATCAAAATTAGCAATTTTTTTTAGTTTTTCGTCTTCTACTTCTATATTACTTATAATCTTACTTTCAAGTCCCTTACATGCCAATATTTCTGTTTAATTTTTTATTAATTTTCATATTAATGCTCGCCTACCAGTGCTGCTTCCATTTTACTTAAAGTCAACTCTAAGTATCCTACATAAATTCATTTCATCACATTGACCCTTTTCCTCTATGAATTTCCTAAAGGAACTGAATATTTCGTAACCCTACACTTACATTTCTGTGTGTCATTTTGCTTACTATATCAACAAGATTGCAGAAATTTCTTATAAAATTTAGTTATTAACTTACCAAATCTTTCATCTCCAAGCGTTTCCCTGTTCGTTGTTGATGATCTTCGACGGAGATACTAACTGGAAACCAATCCATACAGGCCGTGGAATTCTAAAATCCACAAAACAGGATTTTGTCAAAAAAATGGTAGCATTTTTTATTTTTTTACTTCCTAATAACTAGAATCTTCACGATCCTTCGGCGAAAGATTTTATCAACTTGGTAACGATCTATTACTTGCTATCCTAAATAACCTTACCTCGTAACAAAAGACTTAAATACAATAAATTTACTTATGAACTGATTGACCAGTGTTTCTCAGTAAAGGGTAGGTATCTCACAAATATCAGAAGAATGACAAATGTTAATCCGAAAGTGGGTTTTGAAAGAATGAAATATAAAATAATATTAGCAGCTATCTAGTATTCAGTTTCCTTGGAAAAACTTTTTATGCTATTAAGTCCGTCCTTTAAATGACTTGTAAAAAGAAGTCACTTCTGTGCTCGCGAACGGTTAATTTAGAAATTCGAAAAAGGTTGTTAAAGGTGTATGTTTGGAGCACGGCGTTGTACGGGTGTGAAACATGGACAGTGGGAGCGGCGGAAAAGAAAAGGTTAGAAGCTTTCGAAATGTGGTGTTATAGGCGGATGATGAGAATATCGTGGGTAGAAAAGGTTAGAAATGAAGAGGTATTGGAAAGAATAGGAGAACAGAGGACTCTATATAGTCAATAAAAAATAGGCGAGATAGGTTGGTAGGACACCTTCTCAGGCATGAAGGTCTACTCAGAGACATATTAGAGGCAGAAACGGGAGTTAGATGGGTAGGGGTAGACCTAGATTAGATTACTGCTCGCAAATAGTTAAAGATGTGGGCTGTTCTAGTTTTAGGGAAATGCGAAGTTTAGCTCAGGATAGGAAAGAGTGGAGGTACGTGTCCAACCAGTCTTAGGACTGATGACCTTATGATGATGATGATGATAGGTATCCCTGGGGAAGTAAAACACTCATCGATTCATAAAGAAAGCGACTTTCCACAGCGATTACACATATACACAGATTATATCTATTTTTGCTTAGGAAGTATCACTTCAAACAAGACCTTTTTATGAATGACACTTCTCCATAATATTTTCTGTTTGCAAATGGTATTTCCGTTCCAACGCTAAGTTTAAACGTCGAAATGTATAAATAGTAACTGGGATATTTTTAGTTCGGGTCAACTATTACCCAACGAACCATTAACTTTCTTCTAACGTACTCAAGTCAAAGAAATAGGAAATCCGATGCTTTGACCTAATAAAATTAATACATTTCTAGATCTAACCAACTGTAATAACTCATCCTAATCTAAAGTTCATTTTACACATTGTTTCCTCTCTGAGTTTCGATTTTTATTTATTCAATATTTTCGGGTACTATTCATCCATGCATTTTTTAGAAGACAAAAAATTAATTGAAATACACATTGTGGCTAAATAGTTTTAGCAACAACAAACATAATAATAAGTTGGTCTTTTAAATGAACTGTTAGCTCGTGCGGTCTAAATATAGAATACGTTTACAATATAAGCAGTCTATAAAAAGCAAAATTCAACTTTGCTTATTTTTATGGTTATATTTCACCTAAATGAGTACAAATTTATGTAAAATATTTCAAAAATCCATATTTAAGTAGGTATGCTCAAATACTCATACAGTATTATGATCTACCTAAAGAACGCATTGATAGTTTAAAATTCCTTGTTAGGTTGATGACTACTATACACGTCACGAATATATAAATGAATAAGTAACTGAAATCACTGACAAGTGTCCAATCTTAAAGTGACCACCAATAAAGACTTTTAGAATTATTTAATCATATCGCAACATGACTCCATCAATTACCATTCAAAACTATACCCATTGCCAGAATCTGTAGTGGATTTAAAGTGCATCGCGTTGCGGTCTTCAGATTCGCCAAAGCACATTGTGTTGACGGTTACAAGACACGAATTTTATATTTTAGAGGAACCAGGCAACACTTCAGCGAGTTCTGAACAAGTATTTAAACAATCACATCACAAGTTTCGCATTGTGTCTTCTTAAGTTAGCCTAGGGTTGCCATCTCTAAAATTTGGAAACCAGGACAAGACGCGTGAAAACCCCGGATTTCAGAGTCCAGAACCCGGACAACAGGTTTTTTTAAACATAGTCAGTGCAATAAAAAGCGTTGAAAATGTCATAAATCACCTTTTTATTTATTTTCAGACCTTAAAATTAAATTTAGTCATTTTTTATCATCATTTTACATGTACCTAACAAAACAGAATCTTATTACAGTTTGTTATAAATTGTTTTAATAATCAGTTAGATTTTTTATCCTTAAAATAAAACTCAAATTATTAATATACTTTGTTATGAAAACAAATCCTTATAAAAATATGAAACCTAAAAAAAATAAATTATACGTTGGGGGGGGACGGTGAATATAACGACTCGGTTCGTCGGTTGATCGTGGTGTGTGCGAGCACAGTAGGTATGTCGCGGGAGGCCCAAGACTTTCAATTTTTAAACCCGGACTACAAATAAAGGCCCACCTGGACGCTCCCCGGATGCCCTCTAAACTAGGACAAATTCGGGGAAACCCGGACGGATGGCAACCCTAAGTTAGCCACAACCTATTGCGGACATGTTTGCGAATGCCACGATGCGAATTTTGTATTGTGAATAAACGCAATATGCCACAACGCACACAAAAATTCACAGTACAAATTTCGCGTTGCAATCTTTTTTGTCGTGTCGTGGGTACGTGTTTCCGAGGACATTGACGAGGATTTTCTATTGTGAATGAACGTGAGATGCCACAATGCGCACCTACGTCTTTCGCGTTGCGGTCACTTTATGTTGTGTACACGTCTGTGAGTGCCCCGACGCGAAATTTGTATGATGAATAAATATGAGATGTTACAACGCGTCATAGATCAATACTGAACGAATCACAACACATAATTCGCGCTGTAGTCTTTTCGGGGTTGCTAAAAATCATTGTGTACATGTCTGCAACAGCAATGACGCGAATTTTGTATTGTCAGATACCACAACGCGTACAAAAATTCACGGTACCTACATCTACACGTACTACATTGTACGGCTTTCGCGTTGCGGTCATTTTAAGTTGTATACATATCTGTGAGTGCCCCAACGCGAAATTTGTATCATGAATAAATATGAGATGTTACAACGCGTTGTAGATCAATACTGAACGAATCACAACATAAAATTCGCGTTGTGGTCTTTCTAGGGTTACTAAAAGTAATTGTGTTCATGTTTGAGAGAGCCATGACGAGAATTTTGTATTTTAAATGAACATGACATGCCACAACGCGCACAAAAATTCACATTTTTCACACAATTGAAATTTCGCGTTGCGGTTTTTTTAGGTTGCGAATGACATGAGCCTGAGGTAGCACATCGCGTCGTACATTAATACAGTATTAAAAGTATCGCAGAACAAATTTCGCGTTGTGGCCTTTTCAAGTTTGTTAGAACACTGTTTGCAAGGGATAAATTTCGAAAGCCCCAACGCATTTTGGTTGTTTTTCTTCACACATATGCTTTTGTACTTTCTTATTGGTGTATTTTTTGATATTGGTAAGGTGATTTCTCAAATTACAACTTCTATACAGTAAGTTAGTATCTACATTCATACATTACTGTTGCCATTTTGCGAACTTGTTTATATACGTACACCTAGGAAGCATATCGAGTTCATGAGGAAATGCTCGGCAGTTCGTAAAACGTAATGCATAATATCACGTATGTATACAGAAATATACGCATGTAGGTACATGTTTTGTAACAACCACAAATGCATTCAACAGATACGATACTGACTTGGGTTTGCACTCCTACATGATTATCATCCTGCTGATAAAGCTAAACTTTGCTCTCCCTGTGGGAAAACTAATACTGATGCCATATCTGCATATCTAATAATAAAAGTGCAGGTATAATGTTTTTATTTTGTCTAACGTAAATGTATTTGCTTATAATTTATTAACAATACAAAAGACTTCTGTACTTTTAAGGACAACACTAACATATGCGTATAATGTTTCCTACTACTATACTCCGACTTGCTGTTGATAAAACGGTTTTAACAACATGTACCTGTCTACATGTACAGGACGTTCTTGTTCACGATTACTTTAAACAGTGTCCTGACAATAATCTTACGTAAAGTAAGTACAAGGTAGTCATTTTCTAACGAACGAAATTGCAGGTAAAAAAAAGTGTTTGTAAACATAATATTGTCATTGGTATTAACCGTTTCTAATCGATACGTAATACAGTTAATTACAGTAACATGAAGGTTACCGATTTGCTGCTTTATGATATAATGTATACAACTGAATTGCCTGAATTTATTGTCACATCGACTATAGACAGATCTTTCAACTTAATCTTTATAATTTTCAAATATAAATTAGACACCAGAGCAATTCAGTCAAACCTATTATTTATTTCCTTTGGATTGGAAGGTATTACAATTCAGTTTTTTGTAACTCTACTTTTGTTCTTTCATTCTTACATTCAAAGCCCAACCACGTTATCTAAAGTAAGGACGCAACCAATTGGAACGTACTCCTAGAAACACCCTACTGATTCTGTCAAACCTACTTTATGCCTTTTCAAACCACTAGACAATCGGCATATATCCATTGAACCAAGAATGGGAGCATTTTTAATTTAGAATTTATATTGCTGCTTTAAATTACTGCTTGGACAGAAACGATTGATATATGTGGAGTGTTTAAAAAAAAAAGATAATAAAGTAGAAAGTCCATTTGTAAAGGTTTCATGAGTGATACCAGTTGAATAATATAAGTAAGCAATGCGGTTGTTGTAGGCTAGTTTTAATTAGGTGTGGTATTACGATCGAAGGTGTGCTAAAGGTAATTTTGTCATTGCAGAATATGTAGGAAGTAGTACCAATCGAAACACAAATAATAATAGAGGTATTATTTACACGCAACTGACAATGTTCCAATAAAAGATTTCTTAACCAGGTTTTATAAGAATACCTACGTGATGTAGAATAATGAAAATACGTTTAAGATTGCATTT